ATGAGTGCACCATGGCACCACATTTAAAAGAGGAGTTATGTGTACAGAGACGGACCGAAATTGGGCTGCATTGGGGTCGTTTGAAGTGCCTAAAACCTGCGTGTGAGACTAGCGCTTGATAACAAAACTAAAAAAAAAAAATGTTTAAGGAGCTTTCCCACCTCAGGGTGACATCGGGCATTGCTCGGAACACTGTTTCAAAATAAACGTTTACTTCTCTCTCTCAGTAGACCAAAGTGGGGTAGGTTTCCGGAAATCGAATAGCTGCTCTCAGAGTACGTGCTTGACTAGCAAGCAGCACAGTGGTGTGTGATGACAGATTTGCCCCAAGTCTGGACAGAGCAGTTAGCCTTAGAAAAAAGGCTAATGAGGAGTGATTTCAAAGCAAGTAGGTGCTGGCTCACAAACGTCATGAAGAGGAAGGGCCTTTTCTCTCTGAAGGTGCACAGGCATATGCTAGAAGTGCTAAGAGAAAAAGTTTGTCGAAGGTTCGTCGTAAACTTGCACCACAGCATTGGCTACCCGCTTGGGCAAATCAGGAATGCCGTTGAGGCGCCTCTCTACTTTAACATGCTTGGCGTCGCAACCATTAAAAAGAAAGGAGTGAAGCAAGTGTGCTTGTTGACATACGGCCATGAGAAAGCAAGAGTGACGGCAATGCTCTGTTGCCTGTCAGATGGGCACAAGCTTCCCCCATACCTGATATTCAAATGGAAGATGCTCCCGAAATGAGTCGTCTTCCCCAGTGGTGTTATCATGCGAGCCAGCGAGAAAGGTTGGATGATGACAGACCTGGTCATGTATGGGATTAATCTGCGACCAGGTTCGTCGATCCGAACTTGTGCCCATACCTGTCTGTAAGTGAGGAAACGTGTGGTGCTGGCGGTTGACAGATCTCGGTAGTGGCTCGTGCAACACCATGCGGTCTCATGATATACTAAGTATGCCTGGTATTTCATGGCACTACGCATTTTTGCACGTATTTAAGTTTTCTTGCACATATACAGATCGAACAAGCTATTTCTATGTGAGTAGGTAGTGTAGTTCCAGGTGCATTTTCCATTGAGACCAAGTGAACATTTCTCAACAATGTTTACCTTTCTCTGGCAAATTGCACAATAAAGTCTCTACTGTTGGGGTACTTTATTGCTATCAAAAGTTACAGTGCAACTGTAATGTCAACCAAGGTTGCGAGAAAGTGCGCCCAAAAAATAACACGTGTGAAATCGTCTTGCCAACAAGCAGCATAACTTGCAAAAAAATTACTTATTGCATATTGCAAGCATGCTTGGATGCGCGCAGTAAAGTAAGAACTTTTGACTAAAAGCTATCACTGTGTCAGGGGCTGCTCGACATATATAGCTTTACATGAAAATCATTCATAGGCATGCAGTCACGAACATCGACAGTAAGCGATTTGCTCAGCAAAGCAAGCAAAACTGAAATATAATTATGAATGTAGAAAAACATGCTGTGTATACTTCGCATTCCTTGTTGTAAGTGGAGCCGTCCTTGACTTGTGAAACGCACTTCGCCCTGATGAGGACTATGCCATCTATGCTTAACAGAGATTAACGATGTCTTCTCTGATTCGGCAGGCCATGACAATGATGCGTTTTCGAAGAATAGTCCCTTTAAAGGTGCGACGAGAGGCCTTTGCTTCAAACGGTCAATGTACCTGTTGTTTACTGTATTTTATGGCGATTACTTTTACTTACTCTATTCACAAGCTTACGCATAGTAAGAGGGGAGTTTGATGTTGATATACATGTGCACAATCTGCTCAAACTACCGCTGATAGTAACATCACAGAGAAAGGCTGATGCCTGTTTTTGAACATTTCGCAATTATTTCACATGACAGGAATTTGGCTGCATGTGCATTCAAACTACAGGCATATTAATATTTGTGCACCCTTTCGCTTTCTGCTACTCGCTGGGACTCTTGTAACTACATGATCTGAAATGCATTGGCAGTAAAAAGCAAAAGCACCAAGTAATGTCTGATAATGTTGCATCAACAGTAGATTACATTTCGCACAGAGAAAGGGTAGATATTCGCTACAGCAGGAGTGTTGTTTGATAATCATATCCACGCAGTTATGTAAGTTGTCAGTATTTTGATTCTCTACCTTTTGGCTAATACAAAATGTGCTTAGTAATTAACGAAGCTTAACACGTGTCTTACGTGCTGAACTAACAAGTAGTTCAGCACGGCCGTGGAAATCGCGGTGAGTGGCGGGGTGGCATGCTCGTTTTCGTGCCACGGTGATTTTTAGCCACAGAGTCTTGCGAAGTGCTTTGCTTGACATTGGCGCCGCATCATCGCTCATCATTATCATAGTCTCTACTGTGCCACTTAAACAGCTCTTGCTGAGAGCTTGGGGCCCGGGTATGTGACAAAGAGAACACACTCCGATTTCAGCCAGAGAAGGCGCCACAGCCCCGTTTAGTCTTTCGCTTCACCTTGCAAAGTGGCGGCGACGACAGCGCTCTCACTTGTGTTATGCTGCTTTCTGAAACACACTGGCATGCACATTCGTTGCTACAGCATTCGTAAAGGTTTGTTTGTTATCCTGTAGCTCTGCTACTCAATGTGCTGCATTTTTTTTCTAACATGCAGATTGTTTACCAATTGAAGAAAAAGACTTCTGAATGAGCCACTGCGAAAGATTGGAGTAAAAATATCACTTATAGTGGTTATTTCCTTTGAGGCTACAGCACTGGGTTTTAGCTGCAGGAGCATTTGTGATGCCGTATGCGATTTGCTACGCAAGATGAAACAAATTGAACCCTAAGGTTATCTAATTCAAGCTTACTCTTCAATGTGAATTTGTGAATTAAGGTAATTAGTTATTGCTATTCCTAAATGTTTAGAGAATTTAAACTAATTCATTTATATAACAAGACACTGACCATTTCATGGCCAATCTCCCATGGTGAGTTGCATTAGTTTAGTAAGTATCAACCAACCAACCAACCAACCAACCGATGTAATAGCTTGATCCTATCGAGTGTGCATAGTGCTACTGAGTGGCTAGTTGTGTTTACGGTAATATGCTATGTAACTCAGTTCGACACTTGACTAATGATCCTGTCGACCGAGCGAAGCACTAATTGACCTCGCTCGCTTTGTATTTCACAAAACTGCAAAGGTTAGATGGCAAGTTAATAATTATTAAGGTTCAATAATATACTGTGCCAGCCTTGAGCTGAATTAAAATGCCCTGCATAAGTTTCTTTTGTGCCCAGCTTCATGGCAGCAGGAATGTCATGGAAGATCATTGCACCTGCAGAGGTGGTATGGTATGGTATTAAGAACTTTATTAAGGCTGGCTGCTCCCACGTTGGGACAGAGAGGCCAAGCCTATCTGCCGCCACACGAGCCCTCCGGACAGCCCTGAGTTGGTCCGCCAGTGCGTGACTGTGCAGAATTCGCTGCTACCACTGTTCACCGTGAAAAGCCGCACCGGCCATTGCCGAGCAGCGCCAGAGCATGTGTTCAAAATCAAGCAAGCCCCCCCACACTTACTACAATACATCGAAACCCCGCAGTTCGGATTAAATTTATTCATGATGACTGGGTTAAGGTACGTCTACAGAAGTCTTAATTGTAACCGCCTGTGCCCTGTTAATTCTAGAATGTGGCAAGGGGAATTCCCTGTGCTACAAGTAGTAATCTTTGGTTATATCGTTCTACGTTAACAGCTGCTCCCTAAAATCCGTAGCAAGAAATTCAGCTGCCTCAGGGATTGCACGGCACACTAATACTCGTGCTTCCCTGTGTGGCACCTCGTTGAGGTTACGCGGGCTCCCTCCACTGACCGCTTGTGCGCCGGAAACCAAGTAATGGTATGCGGAGTGATGTCCTTACCCTGCAGCAGTCTGTAAGCTAGTTCGCTAATAACTCCCCTCAAGAAGGCTTTCATTGCAGAGTGAGAATCACTGAAGACTAAAAATTTGCCCAAATCAATGAGTGCTAGGGCAATATCCACCTGCTCAGCGATCCCTGGATCTTTCATATAAATGGAAGTGGCATTTCGAACGCTCCCTTTCCCATCTACCGCCACCACCGAGTAAGAATCTTTTCCGTTAATCTATGCTGCGGCAACAAACGCAGACTCTTCCTCCTGATCCTTTGCTCGTGCAACAAAGCCCTAGCTCTCGCCCTTCGCCTCCCAACATTATGCACAGGGTGAAGATATTGCGGAAACGGACGAACCATGATGTCAACCCTGACGTTCTCAGACCAATTTAATCATGCAGTGGCACGGCATGAGACGGCAGAAGGAAGAGGGAACCAAACACTTTCAATGTTGGGCAGCCGTAATGCAGTTATTTCGCTGCCCAATAAAGCTAAGACAAGTCGAGAAACTGCAAAACATTTCCACAGGGGCACAACATGTACCTGTTGATACCATCGACTACACGGGAGTTCATGAATTCAATAAAGTATGTTCTCGCGCGCGTCGCAAAAGCATTTGGTTCTGCTCGCGCTCTCAACAACGATCTTGTCTGACGGTCACGCGGCGGTGCGCCAGTCGCAATGCACGTAGGGTAAGGAGGTTTTATTAGAAGTAATTATAATCTACATGTGAAGAAAAAAAAGCGTATGAGAAGATAACTTGCTACCAGCAGAGACCGAACCTGTGACCTTCGAATTATGCGTCCGATGCTTTACCAACTGAGCTATCATGACGGCTATCTTCCCGTACTTTTTGTGGGTACATATCAGCGCTGCTTATAGTTATTACGGGGAGTGCAGAACACCTTGTTTTGCCTGTTGGCATCAACAGGCCAAAAAGAAAAAAAAGGTGTTCCACTCTTTTGGTAATGGCAATGTCATGTAAATGGCATGTCATCTAAAAAATATATCAAAGCAGTAATGTGGGAAAAAAAGAACAGCACCAATAAAAAGAAAATTTTTTTCTGTTGAACATGTCCTTCAGGACTATGAAAAAGGAATGCATGACCTATATGTACTACTTTGCCACCTTTCAGGATGAGATGGTACATGCCACGGGCAGCAGGGATGTGGACAATGTACTTGGTGTACCAGGGCTGGCATGTTGCGACACGCTCAAGGCTGTGCGCAATGTGTGGCCTGTGCTACCTCCTGCACCTAAAAAGGGACGCGGCGCGGTGGCTGCCAGCAAGCAGAACTCCTATGCACTTGACCAGCTGTACAAGCGTTTCTGTGGACGCCGTTCCAATGCACACCATGCTGAGCAGGATTGCATTGACCTCATGAAAGTATGCCACACAGAAAAAGTTGCCTTCCTCGCCTACATTGATGCCAATGCGGCCCTCCTGGCTGATGCTCATCGTGACTGGTGATTGCAACAGCAACCCTGTCGTGCGATTCGTGAAGTTGTAAAATTTCTGTGCTGTGCCATGCCAAAATCTTTGTATGAATTTGGTAAACCTAAGTGTGCCATCTTACTGGGGCCTTTTCTGTAGGCCTCTTCTGGACTAGTGATTTTGGCATGGACGATCGTGACAGGTGCATGGTTGAGTGAGCCCCATTTTTTTTAATTTAGAGCTTTAGTGCCTATTTTGGTAGAAGTATCTGGATGTCATTGGAAGGTTTGCATAGTAATCGCTAAGTATCTTGCTTTCAATCTTCACTCTTAGTCCACCATGTTGCCCCTGTTTAGTTTGACAGTCACTCTCTTCATAGAGTGGTTCATCCTCCTCTCCTTTTCTGCTTTTGACTCCTACATACTATAATTACGTGATAGTAAGTCTCCTCGAATGTAGGTCGACCCCCACAAAATCTCGTGGAGAAAAAAAAGAGGGGGGGGGAATGGGGAGGGTATAGCACCAGCCCGTTTCATTAAAAGAAAACCTATTTAAAATGTTTAGAATGGAAACAATCGAAGATGGCTTCACGGCAGAGCTTGAAAGCTATGCTGGAGAGCTAGCTTTGCAGACATTTGCGGAGATAATTTTCAGTTTTCAATTCTAGGTCGACCCCCCCCCCCCCACTTTAGATTTCAAATTAAGACAAATTGGGTTGACCTAAAATCATGTAAATACGGCACATCAGTTGGTGCAGCCTCCACTTTATTTGTAAAGGAGGAATGACAGGAAACAAGAGTTTTCGAATGCCTGCCTGTAATTTTTCGTGGGGCTGCAAACATGTGTTATTGTTAAGGTCTACTGTGAAATTGTGCTGCATAAATGCATGTGCATTGACATTTGTGTGTTCCTCCACAGAACTGCTTTTTTTTTTTTGAGCGAGTGCGAGGAGCTGTAACCAGCACCTCATTTCTGTGGAACTCTCAAGACCACAAGGTTTACGATTCCGTATGCTGTCATTCGAATGCTTGTTTTAGGTTTTCCAGAGCCTTAATTTTTTGTACCTTTTTTGCTTATTTATCAGAGTGCTCAACAAATAAAATTTTTATTTGGGGTGTTATCTTCTGACGCCTTTGCAGCATGCTCATCTACCAATTCAAGTTGGATTAGGAAACATGTTATAATATCTAATGCATTACTGATCATAGGAATCATGTGCTTCTGAAGCTAGCTTTCATTTTTTATGTGTCCTGGACATGCATAGAAGTTATCTGTACAAAGTATTTTTTGTTTTTACTGCATGTGGGACTTAGAACTGTCTGCCTTGCTAGTGTTGTTAATATTCACAACCTTTAGACTATGCAAATGTGCGTGACTTCTTTGTATTCATTGTGTGCATGTCTTAAAGTAAAAGTCTAGTGCTTATAGCTTTATTCAACCTGACTCGCTGATTTCTCAATTACTGCATTTCTTACTATGACTGCAGTACAAGGTCTATCAAACGTAGAAAACATGTATAAGTCGGGGCTGCAGTCTGCTCTCATCTGTTGCAGTCGGTGGAGGGTGCAGGCCTTGCTTCGTTTTCGTCAGTGCATGCAAGCTTGCTTACTGTAAGGGCTCCTCTTCCTTTCATCAGCATGAGCTGCTGGTGGGTATGTTGTGTTTAGTATAGAGAACCAAGGTTTGCCATGATGGAAGAGCATGACATGTTCAGTTCTTCAAGTGGTCCTTCGTAAATTTTTTGGTTGCTGAGAAGAGTGGAACCCGAGTAGTGGAAAGCTCTTGCTTAGTATGGCTAGAGGGTCTGGGAAAGCCTTTAGCTAATGCTGTGCCTACTAATAGGGCTGCAGGAATAGCCTGTTCTACACCTTGTCCACATCTCTTTCTTAAAACTCGGTGCTTTGCAATCGTACATTGGCACCACAATGGCAGAAGGCTGAACTTAAGCTTGTGCTGCTGCTGTATGTGAGTAGTGTGCAACAGCAGCAAGGACCTTTGGGGAAATTGAAAAGGCACATGCCACTATGTCACATTAGGGGCACTAACAGCATCATAATGGGAAGATATATGAGTACTTTGATGCTGTTGATGTCACTGCTTTCACACACAGCTGGGCATTTTCTTATATTTTTAAAGCCCATCATCACATTTATGTCTTCACATGCACAGGTCTTTGCATTGATTCATTGGCTCCTTCTCATTGCAGGAAGGATTGTGACAAGTCTTTTGAGGCAGATAGAGCATTGTAGAGATCACATTGCGTGAAATTGTCCGTTTCTTTTGTGATCACTCTGTCTCCTGCTGATGGTTGATGACGCATAACTTAATAAAGTCTGCGTACAGTTTATCATCTACATTTTCTGGATAGCCGGGGATGATTTGAACTAGATGTGTCCTCTTAGCACTGACATTGCACTGTTTTGACTTGCAGAGTTTAGCTGATGGCACTCTTTGTGGTCACGTGTGTATGTGAACATTGTGTCAATTCATGGTAATAATTTAGAAAGACTGCTGTGCAAATGTTTTGTAAGCAGTCACGCTATGAGTGCTCACAGTTTGGGACTTGTATTTTTTTATTGTTATACAAACTTTTATATGAGAATGTATCCAGGTGATCTGCATCTAGTGTAGTACATGTATATATTTTTTGTATTTATTCCAAGAAATGATACTGGAGATGAGTTTCGTGAGGTGATTGATATTTTTGTAGTACTTTGTTTTAGTATGTGTTTCACTTCTTTACATTATACATCTCTTTCTGTTTTTCTAGCTGTGCATATTACATTTCATTTTTGCATTGTCGTGCTTTCTGGCTACTAGTATTATTCACCCAACACTGCAGGAAATGCATTAACATGAGCTGAAAGTGGAGAAAAAAACGAGTGAATCGAAGTGTGGTTTGCTGCATCACCATGAAAAAGATAAGTATTGCAAATGTGTGTACTTGTAATAAATTATGTTCCTTAGCAGTCAGATCTACATTCATGGTGTGTGCTGTATTGAAATCTGAAATTTCTTTTTCATGGTTGCAGTTTACTGTTATGAGAGCGGAGACTGTTATGAGATCATGACAAAGGTCGTGTGTGGCGCTGTAGTTGTCCGCCGCCGCTGGTATAACCACTATCGCACGAAATAAGAAAACAAACCTTGTAAAATAAAATACCAAGGGCATAGCGGGATCGCAACCTGGGTCCCCTGCGTGCCAGCCCAGTATTCTACCGCAGAGCCACACCGGTGCTCAAAATACCATTGAAAACTTGCCTTAGGCAAGCTTGATGCTGGGGAAAGGGTCTCGTTAGTATGAGTAATAGTGTTTTAGAACAGCAAAGCAACAACTAGGCATCACACAATGCAAATTGTGTTACAAGTGGGTGGGCTAATTCTCCAACCTATTACAAAAGCTTGTTCTTAATCACTCATTAACTGTGGCGAATACCCACTTCAGGCATAATTCATTGTCGTCAGCCATTGCATAAAAAATTTGCACGAAATTTCTTGCAAGTGTATAGCGGATGCCATGCTTCTCCGAAGAATGACGAAGGATAGCATAATGAATGCTGGCCCATTACACAAAAATGATTATTTATGGCATAGTGAGTAGCCAGCAAGTGTGCTTGTAGCAGTTACCCAAAGAATATTAAAAAAAAAGCTCTGAAAGGCCACTCTTCCAGCTTTCGCTGTGACTGTGCTGCACGTTCTGCTCAGGCCTGGCGTTTTTATTGTTACCTTTCACTTTATAATGCCAAGTGTTGTGTAAAATAATGACTATTGGTCAGCAAAGAGCACTCTTTGTGTAAATTTGTTTGAAACTTTTTTTTCACCCACAACGGTGGTCTAGTGGTTAAGGCACTCGGCTGCTGACTTGAAGGTCGCGGAATCGAACCCCAGCAGTGACAGCCACATTGTCGATGGAGGCAAAAGTGCTTCAGGCCCCTGTACATAGGTTTAGGTGTACATTAAAGAACCCCAAGTGGTAGAAATTTCTGGAGTCCTCCTCTATGGCGTCTCTTGTAATCATATGATGGCTTTGGGAGGTCAAACCCCAACAAACAACATTAACTTTATTTTTTACCTAAACAAATGTCTTGTCATTTTTTGTAACCTTGAGAATATGTGTGCAATATACAGGGTGTTTCAAGAAATGTGTCCAGTATTCTTTAAAAATTACAGAAAGGAGGCATCTGCTTGTTACCTGCAGTGTTTTTCTCACTGTGGAAAAAGGCATCTTCAGATGTGTGCAAACATTATGGCAGGAGTTATACAAATTGAAACAATTAATATTTTAACCAGAGGAAATAGTCGATAGTCTAATGGGCAAGTCAAGTCCTTTCTGCGATAGTCTATAGTGATTGAAAATTTTGAAAGGTGGCTACTGGTAATGACCGCTGGGCGATGAAACCCGGCTAATTCGGACTAAATCTAAATCAAATTCTGATTGGAGGGAAACAGTGTATAGTCATTGAGGGTGTTTTCGAAGTGAACAGTAGATTCGCTGTTCGATGCATTGGTTTCGGTTTTGCATGCTAAATAGCCATATTTCATCGCCTCGTTGTGATTACCAGTGGCCACGTTTCAGAAATTTTCAAGTGGCTATGGACTAATCGCAGCGAGGTATTAAATTCGCCCATTTCACTCGACCGCTAATTTCTACTGGTTCGAAAGTTAGTTGTATTACTTTCTATAATTACTGCTGTAACTAATGTTTGTACGCATCTGAGGATGCCTTCTGCCACACGGTAAAGGGAACGCCACAGGTAGCATGTAGATACCTCCTATCTGTAATTTTTCAATAATAGTGGTCACATTTCTTTAAACACCCTGTATACCCGGAGGAGATTAGGCTGCAATGTATATTGTGCCAGGCTGCGGCAACATATGGTCACAAACTGAGGGAATGTAGCATGGTGCTGCCAGTGGCGGATATTATTCGTGATCCTCTCAAACACTGCGAGGCCGTGTAGACCAGCTCGGATCCATTCATCCAGGCAATGGGTCGTGGAGTGGGCCACACAGGTCGCTGTTAACCTTGCGCTGATGGTCATCTAGTACGGAATTGTCCGCAGTTACCATGTGACGAAATAAAGCTTTACCATTCATTCATCCACCCTGGTGAAGATGGAAGATTGGGCTTACTGAAGGCGCGAACATTAGGGACAGACAGAATAAAAAGAACCTTGCTTTTGTTGCATAGAACGCAGTTGTCTTGCTTTTGCGCTTTAAGAATGATCCAGCTTCTGATCCAACATCCCAAAACCACCACATGATTATGAGAGACGCCGTAGTGGAGGGCTCCGGAAATTTCGACCACCTGGGGTTCTTTAACGTGCACCCAAATCTGAGCACACGTGCTTACAACATTTCTGCCTCCATCGGAAATGCAGCCGCCGCAGCCGTGATTCGACTCGCGACCTGCGGGTCGGCAGCCGAGTACCTTAGCCACTAGACCACCGTGGCGGGGCTCTTGGAAAGCTCAACACGGCGTGCTGGAGATTACAGGAGGACAATAGATCTTGGGAGAAAGAGCGTTTCGGCGACGACTGTCGTAACGAGATTGTTGTCTCGCTTGCGAGTCAGCTGAACGCGCGCAAGTTGACGAGCATTGTCGGCGCGGGCTATAGCTTCTTAACGTATTCAGTAAGTGGGCACGTCGAAGGAAGCATTATTAGATGCGAAGCAGCTCTTTGACTCACGTGTGTAACGCCGTGCGTACCTGCGTCAGTACGTACGCGCTGCAACGCGTTGTCCTCGCCGCGGGTGTTGGAGCGGCTGGTGCAACGCCGACTATATTCCAAGGCCGAACGGCTGCCGCAGTGACGTCAGAGGTTGGGGGCCCAGTTGCCCAACTGAGCATGCTCAGTAAGACTTTTTTTCCCCACATCTTTTATTCGGCCCAATCTAGCCGCAGCAGCTGCAACAGCGGGAGCGTTGGTTCTCCTAAAACGTAAACGAAACACAGGCTTTCCGCCGCGTTCGCAGCGTAACTGCGCCCCCACCCTCTGACGTCACTGCGGCAGCCCTTCGGCCTTGAAATTTAGTTGGCGTTGGTCGGTGCCAAGTACGTAGGTCTCACCGCAGCTGCGCGTTGACGTCACGCTCCCTTCGCACGCTTCCCTCGCAGGTGCGCGCTGACGTCGCTCTCTCCCTAACCCACAGCACGCTCTTCGCAGTGCCCGCAGCTGCCGGCTCCTCCGCCCGCTCGCAACACACTTCTCCCTCGCTTCACCTTCTCCACCACCTGCAACGCTCGACCGCACTTCGAGTGGACACTCTTTCGTCTCGTTTATCTGCGATGAAACTTACACAAAACCCAACCCGCCTCCCGTGTCATTGCGTTTCAAACAAATGTTTACTCGAGTAAACGCTACCGTTCTTTCAGCGCCCGCGTCGACGCCCGTTTCTTTTCCCGTTTCTTTTGGGTCAATGCCATGTGCACCGTTGCTGCTTAGCATCTCATCAGGGTTCCCTTCAGGTGAGATGGTCCATATTTTTGTGCCCATACTAAGCAACGTTGGATTTCGGCCAAATAAAAGAAAGACGAATAGCCGGCCGTCTCGAGTCATGTTATAGACGAACATTACAAAATGCAACGCTGCATCCCAATCCTGGTGCTGTCAGACGCTAAGCGCGGGGAGGGGGGGGGTAAAATGTGATTAAAATAAAAATAGTGAACATTTTTACCTTTATTTCACTCCTTACAATTAAACATCAGTGCAGAAACTTTCCTTTGGGTACAAGGTGTGCTACGTAAATATTGCTATGTTGCTGTCATTCAAAGCATGATTTAAAAAATAAAAAAATGCTCCAGATTTCTCATTTTCTCACAGTCTGCGGGACGAAACGAGACGCTGCGTGGGGAAAGAACGAGACAGTGTAAAAAAGTAATTCCTTCAGCTTTTGCTGTACAAAGACTTGAAATTCACTTTGTGGGTCCTTAGGCAGCTCACTCCTTGGACTCCACACATTGAATCTTGACAGAACGTGGTATTGTGTTGCTCAGAAATCATTGAAGATCAAACAGCGTCAGTCTTTCTTTCTGCTAATGTTGTCGTTTGTCTAACGCTGGCATCTCATTGGATTACTCAACAACTGTAGGTTAGGTACGTTTTGGCGCATCTTCCATGTCTTTTTGCCGTCAGACGTTTCATGGTTTTTAACTTCGTCCGCATGGCTTTGTGAGGCAACAAATTTAAAACAGAGCTAAATTCAGATTTTCTATATAGCGCTTTTTTCAATTAGGGAATTGGGGAAACATTGTTAAAATTCAATCTCAAAACACGTTTGTGAACGAATTACCTTGAATATTCCGCGATTTTTTATGCGTCTATTGAGAGCATCCTTGAGAACACAGAAAAACATCGATGCAGCGAATGGCGAGAATCATATCCTGAACGGTAATCAGTGCTTTTTCATAACGTTTTCCTCTAAGGAAACTCTACAAGATGGTGTCACGGGGTCTTGACATCGACAAAGGGAGCAGATTGTAGTACGAATATCAAAATTTATTCGGCTTAACCTGCGGCCGATCAACAAAAAGTCAGATTAGAGCGATACATACTGGCACTGAGAGCGGCGAACTGAGTTTCGTCCGTTGATGAACTGACAAGCAGAGTAGCGCGTCGGCATTTATTCATGTGCCATTGAATATTCCAGCGTTAATGCTGGCGGCCACGCAAGTTCAAGAATAATCTATAATGTTCGCGTTGCGCGCGTAATTATCTACTACAGTCCCGAAGCTTGTCGAACACCGCAGGCGTGGTTCCACTAGCGAGAGACCGAGCGGCGGCGATGAGCGGCGGGAGGACGCGCTGACGCGCGTTCATTTCACATGCGCCACTGCTACCGCAGCTTTTGCGCGACGCCCGCCGCTTTGGCGGGCAGTGTTGCCCGCGGTATGCGACGGCTAATCGCTGCTCTCAGTCGCATCTAAAAACCATGCTTTTATCCAAGTATCGTTCCTTTGGCACCCATCTGCTGCAAAGTT